CCTGCAAGAAAAACATAAAAATATCTTTCTTTAAAGTGTAATTTCATCCATAAACATGTGTAAACCATAAAGGAAAATTAACTTTCTTTTCTATACATCAATTATCTTAACATTGTGAAGAATAACTTACACTGGAGAGCGTCAGAAATCTTTAACAGACATTTGGAGGATTCGAATGAACCGAGGTGATCTTTGGGATCCGATTCTCTTTTGTATGGCTCTAGGGCAGGAATTTTGAACTTCTTCGGAGGTTCAACTTCTGTTACTTGTAGCGAGAAGACATTCTTCAACTGTCTCGACTCCTCGATTCGTATCGGTTGGTTTTTTTCCTAGGGGGCAGATCTGGCGTTATCCTAATATAACCATCATCGGGCTTCTCCAGTAGGTGGATCATTCTTATCCCATTGTTTGTTGGTGATTCCCCTTGAGGGGGGTTGAGTGCCTATTGTTAGGCCGGTTCTCCTTCTGGAAATGGGGTCGTCGCAAGTGCAGCGACCACCCTGAGCACTTCTGTGAACTGTCCTGCCATTTGATTGGTGATTTGGGTCCTCAAGTCTTGTGAGCCTTGCTTGACGAATTCTTCCATGAACTCCTTGGTGCATGATGCTTGTGCCATGTTTCTTTGGTTGGATTCTTTCTGTTGTTGTTGCTAAACTCCTCTTCTTGTTGATGACATGTTTCTACGCTCACTGCACTTTTAAGGAAGTTGAATCCCAATGTGTCTGGAGTACACACCCAATGTATAGAGCGTTAAGAAAGGCAGATAGAGAATGAGTGAAAGAGCATTATAGAAAGTAGTAAAGAGAGTGTAACATTTACTCATATCATAGACTTCCTATTTATAAGCATAGGTCACAACATTACAAAGTACATATTAGTCTCTTCATCATTGACTTTTTCGTGAAACTTTTTAGTAATTACATAAATATTCACATATAATAAGATCAGAGGGCTGATTCGATCGATAAGATTTCGTCGAAGATCTGGTAAGCCTTGAATCGATTAATTTTTAATCAGAAAGAATGGTTCCTATCGATCATCTTGAGGGATGATCACCGCACTGCGGGAAATCTCCCGGCACGTTCCGCCGATCGCCTAAACAAGACGTTTCTCTCGTCAACTTCCAACCTGAAGCGGTTGCAACAACTACGTTCAATTGACCATTTCTTCCTCCTGAGCAATTCATCTGTCTTGAGACTCGTGCTGAAATATTTTATATGTACATGTTTATAAGTGAATATCAATTGCTATTTAAATATGTGTGTCTATGTGTTTCCTTATATATGAAATATATGTCAATGCTCATAAACTCAAATATGCATGTATAAGTTTTATTCACTCATGACCATCTTTTGATTCATTTATTGTCACATATTGGAGAGTCCTATGTTCTTATTTTGAAAAAAAATAAAATTATTTTCAAAAAAATGTGACCATTTAAGAATACATGCATATATCCAAGCTAAATATAAGCTTTAATTTATTAATAGTGATTCTCTAAATTTTATTGGCATGGGGTGTGCATTAGCATATAGTGGCGTGTTTAGTTCATTATATCTTTAGTCATATTATTAGGAGATGTTAGTTATTTTGTTTTCTAGCATACTTTAATTAATTAATCTATAAATTGTTTCTATATTATAATCCATTAACATCCAAGCTTCTAGAAATATTTAAACTTTTAAATGTTTCACCTTTTATAATCTTGAATTTCTAACATCTATAAATAGAATAACCTCAAATCAAATAAATATTATTTGATAGATTATAATAAAATAATTTTTGATATGATAACAATAAAATATTTGTTTAATAATTAAATATTTTTTTATATATACTTTATCTTTCCATTTAGTGGGCTGACAAAATTGAAGTATTTTGCTATATGACATCAGTGGCTTGATAATTATAGCGAAAAGAATGTTGGTGGGTTGTGGGAGATTAAGGGTTTTTTTGGTGCAACTGCAGCTTATAAATAATCTGTGATAAACAGCTGATCCGAATAAAATAGCTGACTGTTTGGTTTGTGCAGTTGGAAAATAGTTGTTTTGCAGCTGTTTTTGGATAAATAATCATTATGCCCCTAAGCAGTAATATTATTTGCAATAGATCTGTCGAGATAGTCTCAACACACCCAGCCCAATGACCTCTCGTCTCTCTTCACTTGTTGCTCAAAAAACAGTTTCCTCAACCTCTCCTCAATCAGAACATTGTTAACTGAAAACAAATTCAATGAATTTTTTTTTTCCTTCGAATAGAATGTAAAGTAAAATTACCTTGACTCCAACTATTCTCAACACCCCCGACCCACACCCAAAGTGACCTCTTGTCCCTCCTAACTTGTTGCTCCAACAACCCCTTCCTTAACCTCTTCCTATACCTCCTCTCTAAGTACCAACATTCCACTTCCCCCTCTCCAAGCATCGCCCTCTACAAGCACTATTTCACCATCCTCCCTCCTTGATTGCCACTGCCACATTCTCCCAAGTATTTTCGTACTCGAGGCACTCAACTATTATAGACACCTCATTCAAGATCACAGCTACACCCTTTCAATCCATGCTAAGCACTTTCCATATCACTGCAGTAGCCAAAAATGAACCTAAATGCCAATCTGATTCTACTGATCTATATGATCTTAGATGATTACATGCAACTTTTTCTTTTGATTCCTTTACAGCACAAGAGTATACTTTATGTGGGTTATTTACACCAGCTTCCCACACATACAACACTAAGAAGTTTATATATACAATTGAAATAATGCTTTTGATAAAAAGCAAACTAAAAATTGCTTTTCCATAATGTTTGGCAAACAAAAAGAAAATATCATCTGCAGTGTACACTTCCTACAAATTCTTTAATCTGGTTTTCCTCCGTATCGCCTTCAGTCCAAGACAAATTAACAGTATTTCGAAGAGCTTAAGAGGTGGGCACGGAAGGGGAAGACCGACAACGGTTACCTTCCATAGTGGTTTCGAGTAAGAGCAGAGAGGAATGAGGAAAAAAGATGAGAGTTTCAGAGGCCCTTCTATGCCGTGATTCCTTTGTTCTAGCTCTAATCATGACTATATCACGAAGTTTTAGTCGTGAAGCGATGGTTCTTTCAGGCAAATAGGTAAAATCACGAAAGAAAAAAGTGATGTAACAAACACAATTCCGGCTTTTCAAAATGTCACCGTAGCTAATAAGCTGTCCCCAAACGAAGCCTAAGGCTAAGGTAAGACAGTGATGTTGCAAGAACAAGGGAATGGTTCAAGCATCACTGTGTCATCACTTGTTGATCAGGCGAGACAACGAAGCAATGTGAACGACAACAAGCAGGTCACAATCTGGTTAGAGGAAGATTATATTTACTTTAAAATTAACACAATAGAAGCTTTATATATTTAAAATTAATTTAAAAACGGATTAAACTATTTTAAAACATATCTTAATATAATAATGGGATAATTACATACAGGCCAGCCGAAATTTGCTATTTACCAAACAGCCCCTCCCTTTTATCCATTTTTTAAATTCAAATATTAGGGTTGAGGGGACTTACAGTAAACCCCAACACATATTTTTCACTTCTGAATAATTCTCAATAGTTTGATCGTGAGAACTGTAGGGCTATCAAAACGGCCGTTGTTCGCGAACAGCTCGTGTTCAGCTCGTTAAGAAGCACGTGTTTGGCTCGTTCGCTAAGTTAACGAGCCGAACACGAACAAAGATTTTGTTCATTCATGTTTGACTCGTCGTGGATTTGATTCCCAGTGGCGTTGGGTTCTCGAATATTTATGCACATGATGCAGACTCTCATCATAGGACCTAGCGCATTCAAAATCAGTATCTTGGTCTCAGCCAAATACCGATTTCTTTTTGAAATATATATACTTTAAATTTTACGGCTACGTGATTAAGGTTGTCAAAATGACTTTTTGTTCGTGATAAACTCGTGCTCGCTAAGCAAACGAGCAGAACTTGAAGACATTTTTTGAGCTCGAAATATAAACAAGCCAAACACGTGTTAAGTCTAGACTCGCTTGTGTTCGGCTCGTTTACACGCTACCGAGAAAGGAATTCAAAAAAATCACAGAGGTAGTTTCTTGTAAATATGAATATTTTGGATGGTCTGTTTTTTATTTTCCCTATAATTTAATCAAATATGGACATTCTGAATCGTCTCTCCTTCTCATTCTAATAAAGAATACAGAGGGAGAACCCATCGTTGAAAGATGAATGTCTTCTCTCAGCTCCATAGCGCTCCATTTTACTCTTGCCGGCTCCTCTCCTCCCGTATCACCACTCCAAACCCTAAATCGAATGTCTCCTTTCGCCTCACTTTCCCCTCTCCTGCTACCCCCGCCGCCACCCTCTCCACTTCGGATCTCTCGGCTGACATCAACAAACCTGTTGTCGTCGTCGGCTCCGCAAACGCCGACATATACGTCGAGATAGACCGGCTTCCCAAAGAAGGCGAGACTGTCGCGGCCCGCGATGGCCAGACCCTCCCCGGCGGGAAGGGTGCTAATCAGGCATGTTGCGGTGGCCGCCTTGAGCACCCGACCTACTTTGTAGGCCAGATCGGCGATGATGCGCATGGACGACTTATTGAGGATGCGCTCCGTGGTGGTGGTGTTCGGCTTGACCGCCTCGCGCGAGTCTTTGCAGTTCCTACGGGCTTTGCTGTAGTCATGCTGAAGCCTGATGGTCAGAACTCTATTATCATCGTTGGAGGTGCGAACATGAAGGGATGGCCGGAGAAGGTGCGTCGGGAGGATCTGGAGATGGTGGTCAGTGCCGGTGTGGTGCTGCTCCAGCGGGAGATCCCGGATCGAATCAACATACAATTTGCTGAGGTAAGTAGTTCAGTGTTATCTAAGGATTTTTTTTTTAATCATTAATGTTTCAAATTTCAATCTCATTTGAAATTGAGTTTCCTGAGATGAATGATTCAATGGCAATGCTTCTTTGATTAGGGATTTCTAGGTGCTTCTCTTGGCCATGATTCTGACCAGCAGGCTCTTGTAATGAGGCCTACTGGAATTTGGTGTGCTACATTTTTATAGATTTGTAAAAATGTGTGTGGAGTTGGCACACGTGGTTTGGGTAGTATTTATATTTTTTTTACCGGCATTCTATAATTTGCAGGGACTAAAATACTGCTAGGTGCTTCTCTTGGCCATGATTCTGACCAGCAGTCTCTTGTAATGAAGCCTACTGGAATTTGGTGTGCTACATTTTGATAGATTTGTAAAAATGTGTGTGGAGTTGGTACACGTGGTTTGGGTAGTATTTATATTTTTTTAACCGGCATTCTATAATTTGCAGGGACTAAAATACTGAAAGGATAAAGTTTCTTCAAACTCTTGCAACTTGGAAGTTGAAAATGATGGAGTTTGCATAATTTCATGAAATTTTTGGGTTGCTGATATGCAAAGTGATGGAGAATAGGCCATAGAGCAGAGTAAAGGAGCTATGAACTAACGTAAGAAAATTAAAACAAAACTATCAATAAGATAATGATAGAGAGCAAAAAATTGGTTGAGAATGAGAACAGTCTCCTGATATTTCAGAAATAACATTATTTTCTGAAGCCAATATCCAACTAATTGAACACAACCATTCACAATTTTTTTATAAGCTTATGATAGACATATGAAAGCATTGATTATAATTTGTTCAAAAATTTAAAATTTGTTTCAAACTTTTACCATGATTGTGAAATTATTCAATCTAGGGTTAAAGTAATTGAAGGAGAGTGCCAAAATACCACATCTTTGTTGTGCAAAAGGAATTATTAAAATATTGCTAATTGTGTATCCAAACTTTTTGTGGAGAGTAGCCTAAACCTTGAGAACTAAATCGTGCCTGGCTGCATGCAGGTGGGCAAGAGAAAGAGATGGAGAGAGAGAGAGAGAGAGTATAGTCCTAACTGAATTTCTTTGAGATAGTTTAAAAAAATAGTTGAGCACCTTTGACTGGATAGGGCAATTTAGATTGAATTAAGGAATATAATTCAAAGAAAGAGATTTCTTGTGAAATTCTATTTCAGACTCTATGATTTCACATGCTCATGCCTGACCTCGAATCCCTTATCACCAAAGTCGATGTTGCATACTTGACAATTTAGTACAATTATATAGAAAATAATTGGATAATTTTGTTGTAGCTAATCTTGTTGATAGCAAGTCCGCATTGTGCGTCGGAGGAAAAGTAGGCGGATGCTCTTTAGAGGGTTGTAAATGAGCCGAGCTAAAGCGAGTTGAGCCTCGGTTTGTGTTCGGCTCGTTCCATTTTCAATCGTGTTCGAAATGACTCGTGAATAATTTGTCTGTGTTCGGCTCGAATAACATATTCTTGTTCGTTTTCGGCTCGAAATAGGCTAGAATAACATCAATAACACCGATAATATAGCGATCACATCCGAAAAATACCAATAACTCCAACATACACCGTGGAATAACACCCACGTTTTTAATTAAGCGGGTGTTATTCCGCGGTGTATTACCGATACAATATCTGTATTATTCCACGGTGATACACCGCGGATTAACTCCGATAACAACGTGGAATTCCGCGATATATTTATAATTTTTTTTACTTATTAATTTATTTATTTCTTTTCGAGCCGATTACGAGCGAACAAATATTTGTTCGTGTTCTCGTTTATATTTCGAGCTTGAAAATTTTTCGTGTTCGGCTCATAAAGCTTAACGAATGAGCCGAACACAAGCTGCTTAACAAGCCAAACGTGAGCCATTTTGACAGCCCTACCTCTTTATGAGTATCTCATGTTAGTGTTATAAACAAATACTATTAGAGTACTCCTCTTGTTGGTTAATAGGTACTTTATGTGTTTACATTCAATTGGTTGATGACTACTCAGGCAAGTACTCTCAACAATTGGCGACTTTATACATCTTACTTTTTGATCCATGTATGCATTTCCTCATGAAAATACTTAAAAGGTATGAATTTGGATTGATCATTCATAAAGTTGACTCGGATGTGTTGATGATAATGATGATGATGATTGTGTAATGCGACCTTTTTTATTTTTCTTGATGCAACAACTGCTATTTGAAAGATTTAAGAATTGCATTAATGTTTCTGAAATGTCATGTTCATCTCATAATATGTAACATGTATTTTCTTCTATGGTCCTTCTTATCCTTATTTCCATGTTGTGTTTTCCCAGCTTTTTTTTTTCCTTACATATGCTGATGGTATTCTGAAAATTCATTCATATTAGGCTGCCAAAAATGCTGGAGTTCCAGTTATTTTGGATGCGGGAGGGGTGGAAGGTCCAATTCCTGTTGATCTCCTAAAAGCTGTTGACATTTTTAGCCCTAATGAATCAGAGTTGGGACGTTTGACCGGAATGTCAACTGAGAATTTTGAAGAAGTTACTCGAGCTGTAATGAGATGCCATGAAATGGTAAGACGACAAATAAAATATTGCATTTGTTCACAATAAATCTATGAACCTGTTTTTTTGTTACTATGAATTATCTATAACACTTGAAAGAATTAGTGAAGCTGTAAATAAATGCCATGAAATTGTTTTAGGGAAAACCCAAAACTGCACTTTTCTTCTGTAGCTGATTATATTGATAAAAATTTAAGGAACTGGTTTTTTCGTAATAGGCGATTGCCATTTATTTAGCATTTAATAGCTGTATTGTGTTTATTATTATTATTATTATTTTGCTTTCTATGAAGGGCTGATTTGTCGAACATTTTGAAGCTTTCCTGATGACTTTTTGTTCTTGGATGCCTTTCAATTATTTACTCTACAGAGTTTTGGGATAACTTATTATATTTTCATTTTATTTTTATGCTTAAAATGGTCTCACATTGTAAGCTGAGAAACAACATGAAGAAAAATGTACATAAGAAACATTTAGTGCTAATTGCAAGTCCCTTAATTTGTTCTTGCCATAAACTCTTACGGCATTGTTTTAGAGAAAAATTAGCAATGCTGACATAATTACGTTAGAGAAAGGCACAATACGAAGAAGATGTACAAGTAAAAGTATACGATCTGAACCTTGGCTGTTCAGGAATTTTTTACTTGGCGGGACTCTATATTGTTCCAGATATATACCTTTATCTGTTAAAAGAAATTCTTTTTGAGAAATTTATTTGTATATTATTTGCTTATAAATGGACAACTATGGTATGACATGATGGAGCATGTATTAGTGCCACTGGAAAGTAATATCATTTATTTAATGATAAATGGAAATAAAACTGAATAACAAGTAACATGCTTGATAACGAATCCATTTTATCCTCTCCCTGCAACCGATATCAGTCATGTCTGTCTATTTTGGGCTGTGTATTTTGCCTTTGCTTGAAGTTGAAGATGCCAACACTACCCTTAATTTCTCACAGTCGAAGAAGAAGGCTCATAAACTTTACTTTTACATGTGAAAATAATTCTAATTTCAGTAGCAGAAAGAAGTATTAACTGATTTTGTAGAGTTTACTCTTGATTTTGTTATTGTTTTGATGCCAACAGTTTTATGGAGAGAACTTCTGCACTTGAGTGAAGCAACAATGCTTATATTCCTTCTGTTGCTTTTTCTTCCAAAACTACTTTTCAGTGATGCCATATCTAATAAATAAGTTCATTAACCTTTCTTATAATGTTTATTGATAACATTGCAGAAGATTTCCCAAAAAGTTCTTTTTGTATAAGTTAATTCCTGCACTATATCTCTGTTGCCAGCAGGATCGTCCTTCTTGTTCTCATTTTTCATACAAAGAACATGCACTTAGTTGTTAAAACTATTTCAGGGTGTGAAGAAAATCCTCTTAAAACTTGGATCAAAAGGATCAGCTCTATTTATAGAAGGAGAAAAAGCAATAAGACAAGCTGCCATCCCCGCATCAGAAGTTGTAGACACAACCGGCGCCGGTGATACCTTCACCGCTGCTTTTGCAGTGGCTCTCGTCGAGGGCATGAACTTGAAAGGCTGCTTGGAATTTGCTGGTGAGATGAGATCTCAATCTAAACCTTCAAATACATTCTTTCCCTTCATAATCTTACGAGAAAAAAATAATATATGTGAAGATATCCTGACCCAATTTTGATCAAGATGGGATGAAGATAGTAGTCTTATGAAGCATATGACAAAATAGTAAAATATTAAATAATGAGCAAGTGTCAAAATAGTCCCTAACTATTTACATGAGAATTATTTTAGTCTCGTACTCTATAAAATTGCCAAATTAATCTCCATGCTTTTTTAATATGTGCTGAAAGAGTCTTGAAGGTGGACTAGTTTAGCCCCTATTAAAAGAGTCGGGGGGACCAGTTTGGCATTTTATATATTCTGGGACTAAAATGATTCCCTGCAAAGAATCAGAGGACCATTTTCACATTTCTTTTCAATACAAACATTTAGTGAGAAATGTGTCAAAATGGTCTTCCGATTCTTTGCAAATAGTCATTTTAGTCCCAGAGTCTACAAAAGTGTCATTTTAGTCCCCGACTCTTTTTTACGGGGGCTAAAATAGTCCTCCCTGAGGATTATTTCAGCCCATATTAAAAAATTATAGATATTAATTTGGTTTTTACAAACTATGCCTCCTAAAATAACCCCATGTAAATACTCAACAAACTTTATTGACACTTCATTATTAAATTTTTTTTTTTTTTTTTGCATAATCAACAGAATAAATATCATAAAAAATTGACACATTCTCTCAATCTTCTGCAGCTGCAGCTGCTTCACTTTGCGTTGAAGTGAAGGGAGCCCTTGCAAGCATGCCCAATAGGACGGCTGTTTTGGAACGACTTCAATCTGTTAATGCAAAAGGTCATCATGCATGCTATTGATAAATGGCGGAAGAATAATTGTTCTCATCTCCAGACTAAAAAGTTTGAGGTGCTGTGGGGATTGTGCATAAGAACAACTGTAAGTTTATTGACCAATCTTATGATGTTTGGCTACACCCATGATTCAACTTAAATTGGATTTAATAAATCCATTAAATCCTGTCAATCTTATTCATTTATTTATATTATGTATCACATAAAAGATACCACTTAACTTTTAAAAAATGAAATACAGTTTTTATAAGGTGTTAGATATGTAAATACATAATAATTGAGTGGCATGCATGTAAATCTTTCATATCTTCAAGAAACCAAAAGTGAGGAGTTCATCTCCTGCTTAAATGTACACACCACAAATCCCCTTTTAGCTACAACATCACATGCTTTCAATCCTAGATTTTACAGGAAAAGCAAAGACTATTTTAAGGATTGATCCTTAATCTTGTTTCTTTCAATATTTTAAGGTTTTTTTTTTAATTTTTCTTAATATAAATTTAAATATTTTAAAATTTAGGTGCATTTACATTGCCCCACACAATTTTTATATATTTGCATATATAACATTCAAATATTCATATTTATATGGATAACACTTGAATCTTTAAAATCACATTGAACATACAATATCATTATATTTATAAAAGTGACATACATCAGTTCATGCATAATTTTATAACACCAAGGTGTTTGAAGTCTAGATTTCGAACATTGGGGTGGTTGATATATAAATACATAAGAAATGTGTGAAATTTTTTAACTTTTGCTCGAACCTGGAGCAGAATAATTCCAAATGCATTGTAAAGTTGCAATATATTTGGAATTCATTCATTTTTTAACGTATTTAAAATTTGTTGGATTTGGGCAATTCAAAATACACAGTTTTATGTAAAATGTTGTTGGCCACCGCCTTCCACCATCACCTATCGCTGGCTATCACCACCACCATCTATCGCTGGCTATCATCCACCACCGCCTTCCACCACCACATATCGCTGGCTATCATCCACCACAGTTTTATGTAAAATGTGGTTGGCCATCGGTGGTCAAATATAACTTGATTGCAATGCAATACTTATCTCATTTCCCAAAATCAAGAATAAAAATTGTTTGTTTTTAGACTATTATTTCACTTTTGTAGTTATAATTATGAATGATTTTAGAATAGAGGTATGAATAGAGACCCAAAGTGGAGTTGAGATTTGTTTGAAGGTTTTGTTATTAATTTTCTCATTAATATGAGAAGTATTATAAATGCTAAAATGGTTGCCATGAATATATAGAAATATGATAAAATAAAAATTATGCCCCACTACACTATGCCTAGGATGTTAACATGAAATGTTCTTTTGAGTTTTAATTGGGGCATCAGCATGTTTCCCCTATTGGGCCTTAGAAGGAATTCACAAAACCTAACAAGAGATAGTGAAGTAAAGATCAAGAAATAACTTCAGTCAATATGCATGTGATTTTAATAATATTTGACCACCAAATAAATTATCAGAGAAAAAGGTAGGCATCAATCCCAAGAAAAATCAATGATTTTTTATAGATTCATCATTTTGTGGACCAGTCAGTCCGGCTAGCCATCATCCAAAAGTGTTTAATACCAACATATATGTTCGTATAATTTTTTCTCCCATTTCACACATTCCATGATTAGCATTTTCAAGAAAACTATCAACAATGAATCATTATTATGCATACATAAACATAAATTACAAAAAATGAAATGCTTTGCTTTTAACAAAAGTAATGCAAAGTGAAATATTGTAACCACTCTAAAGAATTGAATGTATATAAATTAATGCCGTAAAAAATTAAGGTAGATCTAACAATCACATCATTTCAACATAATCATACGAAATGTATTAGCTAAATAAGCAAATTTCATATGCAATCATAAATAGTAAAAACACAACGAGAAGTAACAAGGAAATACACCCCTCACTAGGGAGCGATTATTGCGTGCGGTGAATGCACGCAGAGGTGCGTGCGCTCACCGATCACAGCCGTGCATCGCGGCTGTATGACAGTGGGACCCACTGTCCTACAACCGCGATGGATGGTTGTGATCGGAGAGCAGACGCACCCTGTGTGCGCCCTCCATACACAATAATTAGACCTCACTAGGAATGAGATATGTTTATCTCTTAGAGAAAAGCCACCTACCAACATAATCACAAATGCCTATAAAGGAAAGAAGCTAAATGAATCATCCATTAAAGTTATTATACATCAAACCATTAAATCATCAGAACAATCAATTGAATAAAATTTTATAATGAATGATATCTATGATTTCATGTAATTTACACTTTAATAATCTATCTTAAAGTATTATGAAGTACTCTTTAATTTCAATATATATATATAATATTTTCATGTAGCTTAATGAAAGCCTTATCATCCATCCTAAGATTTAATTTTCATAAAATTTATTCAAATATTATATATATGAATGCATCAATATTTGTAAATTATTTTATCTCAACAAATAAATGATTGGATTATGTCATAGCTTTTATATGTAAAATCATTGATTATAGATTTATGAAATATTGGATACACCCCCTTTAATGCTCAATTATTGTAGAATCTTAGCTTCACTAAATTGCATAATACATATACACATTTATTATAAAAATCTCTGTAATTAATACTGCATATAAGTATGCCTAGATCCAGTTATGAATAGAGTCATTTAAGAAATACCTTGAATCAAAACATCAATTCATAATGATTGTATGTTCACTTGTGGAAGGAAACTTAGCATACTATATTCATATACCTTTAAGTCATCAATGAAATTTTTATTATAAGTTGTAGGATGAATGTCCATTAGAGAAAAATTTTAATCCGACTTCTTTTGAAAGACCTCTCAAACACTCGATTATTATTTCATATAAATCGATCTACAGTCGCATAAGGCTCACATATATAGATAAGATAGATCTTTGGGAAAGGATTCAACTATCCTAATTATGCTAACATATAAACGATGATGATGCAAGTAGAAGAAGAAGAAGAATTAATGAATGAATAAACCTTTCTTCCTACTTCTCTATTTCGGACACCCCAAACAATCTTGCTAATTAGCCATCAAAGCCGCCCAAGCTGTCAATCATGACCGATTATCATCCATCTCGCACTGACAAGGCTTTGATCAACCCCGAAGGCATACGAAGAGTAGGTTTATTCGTGTGTGTGTGTGCATGTCGCTCTCCCCTCTCTCAATCTTTGCCACTTGCTTGTCTTTCGGGACTCTCTCTCTCTCTCACTCGCCCCTCTTATTCTTGTGATGCCGTGAAATCCTAATTGAGAATCTATTAGTCATGAAGGGCATTGGGGGAAAGATCGGATTGAGGTTGGTCAGTTTGGATTTCCCCTCTCTCAATCTTTGCCACTTGCTTGTCTTTCGGGACTCTCTCTCTCTCACTCGCCCCTCTTATTCTTGTGATGCCCTGAAATCCTAATTGAGAATCTAATAGTCATGAAGGGCATTGGGGGAAGGATCGGATTGAGGTTGGTCAGTTTGGATTGATTATGTCCAGAGAGGAAAAAAAAGACATTACATTCTTCTCACCTTAAGAACATGTTGTCCTTGAAATTCAATTCTATTACATAAATCTTTTGTACAAATCTGAATTCTAAAGTACATGACTCACCACAACACCAACACTAAGATTCAAATATAATACAAGCATTACATGAGCCATTCAAGTGCAAGAATCCATTATCACCAAACCATCACCAAGGGCAAACAAATGGAGTTCAGAATTCATTGCATGCCGATGTTAAATCTCAAATGCCACATCATACGCATAAAATCAAAATCATCACCTAGCAAACATGGAGTAAAGCCTTACTCAAAGTAAAGTCCTGCTTCATACCATCACTTATTCAATCGCTTAAGTAACCAATTATATAGGGGGGTAGAAGAACCGAACACAAACGAACAGAACTTGTGTTCGTCTTCGGTTCGTTTGAAATGTTTGAAATAAGTTCGTGCTGAAATAAGTTCGTGCTTGAAATTGTTCGTGTTCGTTTCTTAACGAATGAGCCAAACACGAGCTGTTCGCGAAAGACGAGCCAGTTTGATATCCTTAATATTAATATATATGAATAATATATTATATAACGACGAGCCAGTTTGACATCCTTAATATTAATATATATAAATAATATATTATATTAATTATATAACTTATATTATATAATTATATAATATCTATATTAGTATATTACTAATATA